CAACTTCAGCTTCGTTTTATCGGTGATAGTACAACTGTTACGCCAATACAGCTACTTCTGAAACTTTCTTTACTTGCTTTTCATTTCCATGCCCAAAATTCCTTATAAGCCTTCTCATATCGGTCCTTACATTTTGTCGGTATTAGGTCTTGAATTGCATTCTCTGCTTCAGCAACTATATCCGAAGGAATAGAATCGCTAGAGGAATCTTTGTTTTCCATCTTCAATTGGACACATAGAACGCAACACGATTAGGTATTATTATTATTATTATTATTATTATTATTATTATTATTAAAATGAAGCGTTCGGGCAGAGACCGAAGTCTGTTATGCCCGCGCAAGACGACAATTGATGCAATCACAAATTATTTTAAATATAATAAATTATGGATATAACTATATACAACTATCTACGGTTTCGAAAGGTGTCGTAGTTGACCTTAAATCTAGGAACGGAAGCACTTTCAACAACTTCAGGGGGTAATGCATTCCATTCGGTGAATACCCTGTTAGTGACGAACGTCTGACGAATGGAAGTCCGAAAATTGTCCTTCTCCAATTTGAACCGGTGACCTCTGGTTCGTCCATCAATGTTGACAGGAAAAAGATGTCTGATAGGTGAACTAACATTTGTAAAAGCCTGAAATGTTGTCAACATGTCACCTCTTACACGCCTGTCGGCTAACGATGGCAATTTCATAAGATTAAGTCTGTCAGGGTAAGAGGGGCGCACTTGTCCGTACGGTATTCTTGTGGCACGACGCTGGACAGATTCTAGTAAATTGATATCACGTTGTAATGTTGGAACCCAAACGCAGTTGGCATATTCTAATATCGGTCTAACATAAGTTTTATACAGTTTAGTTACAGTATTTACATCAGCTTTAGCAAATGTCTTTCCGAGAAGATATAGTATCTTGTTGGCTTTTTTCACGACTTTTGTGATATGTTCAGACCATGTCAAAGTAGACGTTACGATAACACCCATATCCGACAAAGAAACACACTTGGTAAGCTCGGTGCCGTTGATATAATAAGTTTGCTTTGGATTGTCGCTGCCTAAATAAAGGATATTACATTTGTCCGCATTAATTGGAAGTAACCATTTTAGTGACCAGTTATAAATAGTTGCTATATCCTTCGTTAAGACTTCATAATTGGAACAAATATTGTAGATTTTCAAATCGTCAGCATACATTGCCCAAGGAGAAATTAAGCAATCTTTTATGTCGGATACATACGCTAAAAACAACAAGGGTCCTAATACAGAGCCCTGTGGCACACCGCTCAGAACTGGAAAAGGAGAACTAAACATATCACCAACCTTAACCTTAAATATTCGGTCAGAAAGAAAAGATTCAATCCACCTGAGAAGACTATCTTGGATTCCATAATGTCGTAATTTCAAAAGGAGTCGGCGTTTCGGCACACGATCGAAAGCCTTCGAAAAATCAAAGTACGCGATATCTACTGAGCCACCAGAATCGAGTTCTCTAGTCCAGTTGTCTAAACAACAGAGCAAATTGGTCGCTATGGACTTTCCAGGTGTGAAACCATGTTGCTCACGAGGTATAACCTGGTGTGCTGTTAAAAACGCCACCAACTGATCGTAGATGATACATTCCATTAGTTTCACTACTGCTGAAGTTAAACTTATAGGCCTATAGTTCGCCGCATTAAACTTGTCCCCTTTTTTGAACACAGGTGTGATGGTGGCAGTTTTCCAATCGTTTGGCAATCGTCCTGACCGAAATGATTGCTTCATCAACATGCAAAGCGGGCGAGCAAGGGAACTGCCACACTCTTTTAAAATTTTTGCACTAATACCATCAGGACCAGGAGATTTGGCAGTATCTAATTTGTGCAATTTATCTTTTATTAAATCGTAGGAGAAGCATATACCACTAAGACAATCGAAGTTATGAGTAGTCAACAAATTCGGTATATCCGCGTCTGGTTCAATTGTGAACGACTGAGCAAAAGTTTCAGCAAAAATGTTGGCTGTAACGCAATCGTCCTCTATAATGTGCCCGGTTGCATCTTTCACCTGCGGCTTTCTGACAGGCCCTGATAATTTATTGCGAATGTAGCTGTAGAACTTTTTGGGATTTTTCTGATCGGCAATACTTTTTTCATATTTATGTTTTACATCTTTGATGATTGACGAAACGCGGTTAGAAAACGCACGATGAACCTTATAATCATCTTCCTTGCCTGTTCGTTTAAAGGTTCGCCAAAGTGAACGTTTCTTTTTTATTAATTTTAATATTTTGTTGTCAATCCATGGTTTAGAAGAAGATGCTTTGTAAGTGATGGTGTAAGAATACTTATCAGTTGCTAGTTTTAAATGATTTTTAAAACTTTCCCAATTTGTATCAACCGATGGATGGTTTAAAAGGGTTGCCCAGTCTACAGTAGACAAATATTCATCAGCTTTTTTAAAGTCAACAATCCGCTTTTGTAAGGTAACAGTTTTAGATCTCGCTACAAAACAAAGTTGGAGATCTAGCTTTAAAGTTACATGATCAGATTTGCCGAATGGGTTTAAATAATTCAAATTTGCTAGTGAAGTATCATCAGACGTTAAAATCAGATCTAATGTAGACGGTCTTTGGTTCAGCCTATAACGGGTGGGTTCATTAACAAGTTGGTTCAAGTTGCTATTAACTAGCAGATCTATTAATAGCTGCGAAGATGGACTGAAATGTTGACTCATATTTAAAGGCCAAGCTATGTCTGGCATATTAAAGTCTCCGAATACAAAAAATTTATTGTGAGTAAAGGCAAGTTGCGACAGAGAACTGAATAAGTTATTATCATCAGCAAGCAGCACTGGTCTCGGAGGGCGATAAACACATCCCAGGACAAAAGTAACATTTTTATCAGATACTTTCAAAAAAAGTGAATCAATGCCGAAAGTATTAACATTTATAGGAGTTACCGAAAATTCTGATAAAATCTGGTCAGAAACATATATATACATATATTGACAAATATTTTGCGAAAAACTTGTTTGTGTTTAAACAATTGCATTCGCAATACCTTGACTACTCAACGATATGATTTTCGAATGTGCTGTGATTTAAAATTTGACGAAAAACTTAATTGCTGAAAGATTTAACAGACGCTGTTAGGAAAAACATTGTTCCTAACGCGCGCGGGAAGTGCGATTCCGAAACTCGTGCAGGTACCGAAACTCGCTACGCTCGTTTCAGTAACACCTGCACTCGTTTCAGAATCGCTGACTTCCCACACTTGTTAGGAAAATAACTATTAAAATGTTGATGAGTCAATGTTCTACATTTCTCTCTCAAAAATTTCCTGTAATGAAGATGCTTCCTGGAGGCAAAAAATCCATCCCTGCTTAACGAATGTAAAATCAATTGACTTTCAATCTTTAGTGATTCCAAAAAAAAGTGTGAAATTTATCCAAATTACCTACTAATTAAATTAACCGTTTGTTGCGCGTAGGGGTTGGCAATTCAAACAGATTGGGCAGTATACCAAATTTATTAGAAGAAAATGTCGCTGGTACGGGTGTTGGTTACAATTATCCCTTGTCTGCTACAACTACAACTACTTCTTCAACTACAAATACAAATACAACTAATACAACTAACTTCTTCAGGTGCGAGCCAAAAGTTATATATTGACAACTATAGTCATGTGACCGACCATAGTTGCGGAGTAATGACATGACCTCCTTAATTTTGATTGAGTCGATACTTAGCAATCGCGGAAAAGGAAATGCAACTCAGCTTGACTTCGGACTCGCTTCCTTCTAACAACGCTTGCACATGCTGCGGCAGCAACCCCAATTAAACAGGATATTTCACAACACGTTGAAGAACATGCAGGCCCCCGCTTTTTCATCTAATCGCAGTAGAACATAGCATAACCTAATAAGATATTTTGTGCAGTTTGTGCATTTATTCCGTTTAAATTGACCTACAATAATCGTCATATTGGGTAAAATAATTCAATTTGAGTCGTTCAGTGATTACTGAGTGAGGCAGCCGGAGTACATTCCTAGCTTGAGGGCTCCCAGAAAATGTCACAATGGTGCCGATGAGCTTTGATGGGGTTTTGAGGAAGACCAGCTGCTCGAAGTCTTCATCTTGGGCTTTTTGGATACGGTCTGATTGTAGTTCGAGATGGCTCGTTTGACGGGGTCGCGCACTATGACGAATGAATGGATCAATTTGTGCATTTATTCCGTTTAATTTGTCCTACAATAATCATCACACTGGATAAAACAATTCAGTTTGAGTTGTTCGTTGATTTCTGATGAGAATAATTTCTAATTTCACTTTGACATTTGAATTTTGCATGGGCAACGAAAAGACGCGATCGCTGAACTTCGACAGTACGACGGAACACTTCGCGACAATTCGGATCGGGCGCGAATTTCAAAATACGATTTTTAAAACCTTTTTACAGTGAATGAGCGCGATGCAACGATTTGAAAAAAATACTGGTCGATAGCCCTCTTCGACCTCCACAAAAGCATCACTCAATAATAGCTTTAAAGTGATCTGGGGAGATATTATAAAATAAAAACCAATTCCCATGTTAATTCCCTATATCCAGACTTGGATGCGGCACCCTGTATATTTTTTGTCACGTTGGCAACATATTTAAACTTTTATGACAGCATACCTGATTGTCAAATTGACATTTATGACACCAACTCAGTATCTGCCATCTTTTTCAAATTTAACAACTCTGAACTAGCATTGCTACCAATAATTCAGAATTACCAACACAAAAATTCGCTTCAATCATTAATAGTCACTTGGTATTTGAATATCTACAAACCACCAAAAATTGGGCATATGAAAAATCATTGAAAATCAACAAAAATGTCTCAAAAACCCAAAAAAAAATTTTCATATTCAGGCATTTTAAAATGAGAATACTTTCGTTTTTAGAGATTCTAAACATGCCTTAAAACCCTACAAGATTAAATATCAAAGTATGACTTAAGAATAAAAGAGATTAATTTATAAATTTTATTACGTTTGTAGCACCCCACAACACAACACAAGCAAAATTCCACCTAAATTTAGGAAAAGTGCAAGCCTAAACACACCAGTAAATTTGCTTGCACATTGTACAATCTGTTAAAATTTAAGTATGTCGCTGGTGCATTTTTGATAATGATCAATTAACTGTTTTCCATTTTCTTCAATACTTTTAAGTTCTTGTTGACCACAGGCAGCAATCGCCACCAAATAAGAATACTCAAAGTTTTTCGAGTCCAAAAGAGCATCAGAATTTATAGACGTTCCGAGATTTTCAATAACCCCCCTTACTCCTGAAAAGAAAGTGTTTAAGCATTCGTCATCTGAGGGGTCGCAAGCAATCAGCTGTGTTTCATAGTTAAATAGAAGAGTAAAATAGTTTTCAACTAATTTTAGAGATGCCGTCTTTATAAAATCGATAGCTTCGTCGCTTCTATTTTTAACACATTCAAACAAATCGTCTAAAATTGCGGCTTCCAGATTTATAATTTGATTTTCGTAAATATCAGCACATTTTTGTGTACCAGCTGTTGATATCTCTTTACGATTTTTGAGGGATTGGTATTCTTCAACCATCAGCTTAAACTTTGATCCAATTTCTTCAGTTGTGCCAGCAATGGTTGACTCGGCTGTTAGATCCGTCCAACGACTCATGTTGGCGTAGAAATTTCCAAGAGCACGAAATAAAAATTCGTTGGTGTAGTTATGGTACTGATCTTGAATTGCTTCTGCATCATGCCAAGCACTGAATGGTGTTATGTCACTTGCTAACGCCTGAAAAAAACATAAATTAGGCGTTCTGTAAGAAGAATTTGGTTCTTGTATGTTGTTTAAAGCACTAAAGGCGAAACGGCATAAATAAATATTCAGTACTGTTTCATCATCATCAAGCTAAAATCATCTGTCGCACTCGCATTTTTGAGCATACACAATCAATTCTGACTTTAAATGTTGTTAATCCTTCGCACTTTCTCAATAAAAAAGCAAGTATTTTTAAAGCGCTCATCCACAATTAACACTTGTTATACTTACTTGAAAAACTAACAAATTTCCTAGTAAAAACAGCAGAATTGTTTTCATCTTCGTTCTTGTCGCAGCTTGATAGCAATCAAAATGACAACTTCATTCAACCAAAAGTGTTTCTACATTTCTTTTTTATCTTTGAAATTGATAAGAACGTACAAAATACTTAAAAGATATTGATGTCATAACCGTAATCTTGTGCACTTGTCCTTGTTTTTTTCTAAAGTTAATGAGCACTTTTCATAATTAATTAGACGACAAAACACCTACACCACTGGAATAGACATGGGTGGTATGAATAAAACTAGGTAGATGCTCATATTCGAAGTACGAAGTATTCAATTGAGTATCAGCTCAAAATATTTCTAGTTTTTCTAGATGATGCTAATACTTGAGTAGGTACTAGTACATGCTCAAGTAGCAACTCAATACAACAAAAAAGGAAAACTGAAAAGCGTAAAAAGATAAAATGGAACGTTTAGTTTAGTGTCATTGTTCAACAATCATGGCAGAAAACGAGTCAGCAATGGCGTCCAAAAGCGGCAGCGAATGCGAAGATGAAAGAGAACTGTTTGTCAAATTACTAGCGTCTCATCTTGTGCTGTTTAACAAAAGTAGAATACCTACGGTGGCAAAACAACGGCAAACAGCCTTACAAAATATGACTGCATCGTTCAATAAAAGAACGGGAAAAAATGTAGACGCGAAGCAGATGCTGAAAAAATTCAATAATCTGAAAACTCGTGTCAAGGAAAAAACCGACAAGAAGAGGACAGGCAATCGGAAAATACGCTTAACAGTGTGGGAACAAAAGTTTGCGCACCTGTGGGACAAGACTAACAACCCTGCATTACATCGTATTCCAGGTAAATATTTAGAAAACGTGTAAAGCGTTCATTCATTAGCATTGTTATGCCATTGACATTTATTTGTTGTGTCTCACTGATAAACTATAAATCCATGTCAGGAACTGTGACATCAAGTATGGAGATAGACGTTTCATCGCCTGTTGTATCTGATCCGTCTTCCACCGGAAAGACCATTAAACACGACCATGAGGCAGATAGATGGCAACGACTCTCAACAGCCCAGCTTCAACGTGTCTGCTTAATATCGCAAATTAGTGCCGCAGAAGCTCAAGAACGAGCGGCAGTTGCCCAAGAACGAGCTGCGATAGCCCAAGAACGCTCTGCTATTGCCCAGAAATGCGCTGCTGTTGCCCAGGAACGAGCAACCCTCACGAAAGGGTTTTGTTATCGAACCAAAACCGCTCAGTTGTGCGGAAAGAATCACAAGCTTATTTGCAGTTAGAATAACTATAAGTAATCAATAAAACTTTTCACAAATTATTTATTATTTCTTATTAGCGGACCTATTTTAAGTTAGTCTATTCTAAGAATTAATAAGACTAAATCCAAATGGTCATTTAATGGTCAAGAACTTTTTACATTAAGTGCGATTATTTTAAGTAGCAATATTAACCGCTATTACTTGATTCTAATTTCGTCTTCTTTCATAAAGACCATAAGCAAGTCCACTTTTTCTTTGTAACATTGTAATAATCCAAACATATCAAGTTAAAAGCCCGCGAAAAATTCAAAAATTCAAAATTTGGCCGTGACTGTGTTCGTTTAACAAAATAGAACCCTACGTTGTGTTTTTGAAAAATGGCGGGATGTGCTCAGATGCAAATGGTGGACCGCAAGGTTGGAAAAGTACCGCAAAATAAAACACCAAATTTATGGAGGACACAAAATTATTTATTCCTCCACTGACTCCACTCGTGTCTTGCCCTCAGGCTGCCCAATAAGGGCCGAATCGCCATCGCTTCTCAGCTCCATAAAAAAACTTATTGAAAGTAACGGGAGGCAAATACACAAGTTATTACTGGCGTATGGCGACAAATTTAAATTATGACAGTCAACAAGAGCATAAAATTTTAATAAAAACAACTATGCAGCGGTAGCGGCATCAGAGCGCTATAAGAGTGTGGCGATCGACTATGTCAAATTCATTCTAGAGCACAACAAAAATACCCATAGTGGGTGTTGTAGCGCGAGGGGAGTTTGGGGCTCCCGGTCGTGGCTGTTTTCCCCCGCAACGGTGATTCTATCTATCGCAAGCACTATCGCAAAGTAATTCACTATTACAGACAAGTCGTAGGAGCAGGCAGTTACGGTCGCAAACTCGCAGTTGGGTCCTGGCTATGGGGTGGAAGCCGACAGTGTTACGTCATCTCGACCGTCCCTGAATTCTATTCTAACCTGCATGTTTGGTGCAAATGACGCGATAAATTCCGCCAGTTCGACTAGGAACGGCGCACTCCGCTTCCAGCTCGTGTGTCTGTGTTATTTAACCTCAATTCCATTTTAAGTGTTCAGTTTCTATGACTCTGTTCTTAAACTACAACGAAACCAGTGTCAAAGCTCAAAGAGCAATAAACACCATTTAAATTCGCCATACATTCTCGTGAAATGTTTAACAACAAATAATTCTTATTTGAGATTAAAATTGGACATCGAACAATTTATACAATGGAAACATTAATCAACAAAATGTTTACAAAACAAAAAACTAGCAAAGATTAAAAAAATACAAAAAGAGAAAAAATTACGTGAAGTTAGAAACTGCAGAGCATGTCGGCATCGAACGTCGCGAGGAAAACTCCTTGGTGATGTGATAATGATGCGATAATAACCGCATAAGGAGAGAAATCCTTAATTCCCTCGTCCCTCAGTCCACGATATTATGAATTTTGTTAATTTAACCGCTGTGAATGAACTATTTGCAATCTTGGGTCAAGAATTTAGAAGTGTTATAATGTAACACTTAAGTATAAGCATCCAGAAACTTATTTATAACCTTGTAAAGAAAGGATTAGTCCTGAATAAGTGAATATCATGAAATTTCCTAGCAAGTGATTTATTTAAATAATATATGGAAAACCGAATTAAATATTTAATCCTTGATTAATTTAACGGCGGATTAAAATGTGGAATATGAGCTCGTGATTGCTCAAAACATGCACGTTGCCTAGCAACAGACCTCAATTAAAAGTAATTAGCGAATTAGCTTTAATTTCGCTTTCTATAAACCGGGTTTTAATGTTAGCAACGATTAAAATCCTAAGATGAACTATGAATTTACAAACATTGAATTAAATTTACACGTGTTAGCGCCGCTCAAAAGTTAGCATTTTCCTACTAGAAAGTCGCAGAAATTAGCTTCGCATGTTGGGAAAAAAAACTGTGGCGTCGTGGTTATGATTAATTGTCGTTGAACAAAGACTTTCTCCCTTTTATTAACTACCAAACCAACTAAACTTAACCTAGCTTCCTTACCGCATGTCGCGCTCACAACAATCAACACACACTGACGCTTTCACCTTCCTCAAGAGGAAATCTTTTCTACAAACCAACCCTCTCACTACCAAGCAGAACTACCAACTACCAGAAAAAAACTAAACGTGTGCAAGGCCTATGTTTAACGATTTTTTTTTAAATTCAAATTATTCTAATGTGATTTCGCCCCGTCGTTATTTTTTTTTCGGCGCGAAACAAATTCGGTCACCACAACGTATAACTCATCTTCAGCTCCATTGATACGATGTGGTAAGTGTTTAGCTACATTTCTAATTAGCTAACTTATTCACAAATCTGCAAAAGTTATTTTGTTTCACTAGTTTTGTTAGTTTTCAACAAGCAAAAGCTAACCTTCGTTTGTAAATTGATTTATGTCAGTATGCAACCAAAATTACACATGTGTTTGTTTAATTGCATAATCCGAAAAGTATACCATACCGAGAAGACATACGTTCAAAATCGCACAGCATTTCTGAATAAATAATTAACACACGGTATAATCATGCTCAATTAAATCCCGTGCAACCTCACTTTTACGTTTTGTCACAATCAATACATACTTAATAGCATGGATCAAATTCAGATTGTCATCTGTATGGAATTTATGTGATCATGACTGTACGTACTACAGAAGTAGGTTTTATTGCGTTCGCTCAAACATGAGCGCACTTTGGACAAACCCACTTAACTTTATCAAACGCGTAAAATTATCTAAAATATTTAACAAAAGAAAATCTGACGATTATATCTCCGATTACACTTAAATCAATTTAGTTATTAAGTATAGTGTCGTCTAACAAGTTCTAATAAGACAATTTGAATTTCTGAAACATCAAAATTCGACATTTTAGTGCAGTTAATAAAGCTTAGGTATGCTGAAATTTTAAATTATCTAATTGTTCTATTTATATGTTAGATGTGTTAGTTTCGAAATTTTTAGGAAACTATGGATCGCAGCGTCAAAGAAACTATAATGAAACTAGTTAAAAGACTAGCGGAGGAAGAAGGAAAAATCGATCTATACCTTAAGAAACAAATTGAAACTGCTATTAGGGCATATAACATGATGAACTTAAAAATGAAAAGCTCTCGGGAACAGAAGGACTGTTATATCTTATTAGAAGAGGCAAGGAAAAAACTGCAAAATCTGAAAACAGTAAATCACGAACTTTCCCCCGCGATGATTTGTATGTAAAAACAAAAGCAGAGTTCAGTTTTAGGCGTCATTCTATAACTGTTTTAGCTGATAGGGAAATCAACATGATGCAGCAATACTTGCTAGAACTTGAAAATACTATGGCCAAAACTAGAACAGAAAAATATGCAGAAGTCTTTGTTAGAGCCATCACATACGCAAAATACTTGGAAAGACTGAATGCGCTTCACGACAAAGAACCGGGCCATTTGTCTACGTTGTTCGTAAAATTGTTTGTACATGCTCCATATACTAAAATTTCAGAATCACTTGAAGAAATATCGGCGAAGATATATCATGTTCGTTTTGATTTAGACAGATGCGATTTTGATAATAAAAAGATACATCTGCAAGAAATTAAAGAAAAAATGGTGAAAATTATGGATGCAATTGGGACTCTCGAACGGAGATCAGCTCAAATACTGTACGAAATTGAAGAAAAAATTGTAGAAGGTAAGGTCAAAACAACAAAATAAGTATTTTCCTGGTTTACAATTTGTAATCATTTTGCAAATATCAGTTTATGACTGTAAGAACTTTTAGAAGACCCGGACCTCGCACTGGACAAACTAAGTGATGAAATTAACAACCACTGGACATCTCTGCCAGACTTACCTCAGTCAAAAAGCGCTCTGAAAATTATTAAAGAAAAGATGTCACATTTGGAACAGCGTTTTGATAAAATTCCAGCTAGGAATGATGCAGCACGACAGAAAAAGAAACACCTTAAGGAAAAAATTGTCTTTATTTCAGAAAATTTGAGTCAAATGGACAAGGACGTTGGTATATTGCTTCGCGCAGAAAGTCAAATATCTGAAATTCTTGAATCAAATGAAGATCCTGTAAACAAGACAAATGACTCAGAGTCATTATTAAAAAATGTACGAAGAGTCAATAGCATCAATAAAGCAGTTAAAAGAAACACGAATCAAATTGCAAACAGAATATCATTATGTATTACAGTGGAAAAAATGAATTATTTGCGTCAAAAGCTGGCAGTGATCGAAGAATATAAAAATTATGGAAGACAGTTTGCTTTCCCAAAGGGTATGAAAATCTATGACGTCCGAAAGAAAGAAATAGAATCACTTTCAGATAATTTTGATTGTCTAGATAAAGACAACCAAATGTTTAAAGCTAGACTAGATGTTATTTATGCAAGAATTCAAGAAGCTATAAGAGAGTTAGAAAAGAAAGCCAATGAGAATGACAAAACAATTTCTAAACTTATAGAACTGAATAGAATACAACAAGAAATTTCAGATGGCCTTGGGCAACCAAAATCACTGTCTGTGTTTAATGATATCCGAGACCGGATTCAAAATGTAGACGATTTTAGTTTTAGAGTGATCGGAAAAAAACGAAAGATTTTACAACAACTACATCATCTCGAAATGGAAGTCTATAAAAAATATTTTCCAGAAATTGCACCTGAAATACAAGAAAATTTGCGTAACTATGAAGTATTAACACAATACCTGAGCAGTTTAAATAGAGATAAAAACTCTCTGACTAGTCAAGAAATTACAACAAAAAGAGCAGCCATAGAAGAATTAATAAAAACTAAAGTCAAAGCACCACACTGTGAGGTTCTCCAAATCTTGTTTCGTACATTTTTTAACCAAATGCAACGCCTTTTGCAAAAACGAGATGAGCTCGACAGTTTAATGACAGAAATTAATAATATCAATAACGACTTCACGGAATTGTCAAAATTTAAACCTTCGAGTACAGAGAAAATTAAAAATATGAACGCACTTGAAAAAAGAGTGGGTTTATTAAAATTTAACGCTTCCAGAAGCGACTTGTTGACAATTCTCTTTCAATTTAAAGACCAAATAAAAACCGAAAGAGCTATAATCAAAATTCATGATAGTGTCAGTATTTTCGTGGAACAGCTTAGTACCAGTATTAAAAGTTTAAGTTCCTCTGACTTGAGCAATACCGCAGTGGTTGCCGCCGTTACGGAAGTTCTAATTTTAAAAGAAAGTGTAGAGGATCTGCCGGAAGGGAATGCTCAATTAGATAATCAGAAAAAAATAATTTTGCAACAATTGTATTCGCTGTTGTACGGTGTTGATCAACACTTGGCAAAATTTGCTTTCAAGCAGCGAAACCTTAAACCTTTTATAGATGAGGAAAACTACTGCAGCACTTTTGAATTTGCCGATGTTTCAAACAAGGGTAGCGTGGAGTTTGTCCATAAAATTTACTCTTATGCAAAGACGTTGGAAAGTAAAATCGAGTGTTTTCTTGGAGAAAAAAATTCGATCGATTTCTATATAATTCATGAAAATTTGGTGCGATTTTCCGAAGAACTTTTCCAAGTAACAAGTAATGATAAAGATGTTGTGAGTGAAGTTTTAAAGGTGACGTCTTATCTGAAGCAGCTGAAATCACAATTGTGTAGTAATACTTTTTGTTCTGATTAAACTGGAAGCGTGTCAAGAACGTTGTATATAAAAATAAGACTTTATCTAGATTATTCATTAAAATACAATATGTGTCTCTATTTATTAAATCTACAACATTGACTGTTATCTCTATATCTCTTAGTTATGTTTATACTTTTCTGTAGCTTTAAAAGTATTTTTAACGTTCCTCTGAATATTAGCTTTCTCTAGGAGAAATGAGGAATTTTCTCTCCTTTTTCATTTCCCCGAGAAATGTTTGGGTTTATTTTGTTCAATGCTAATTGCAACAGTACTGCTAGGAGACAAATTTGGCAACAATATTCTTCAAATTACGTTTCAACGTATCTGGTCTAATTTTATCGTATCCGATAGTAGTAATGGTTCTACGGGTTTTTGTAACGTCATTAAAGTGGCGGTCAGTGGAGGGGATTTTGATATAATCAAGATGGCGAACAGTAGGAGATTTTTTACGTAATCAAAATGGCGGAAAGGGGGGAATGTTTGACGTTATCAGATGTTTTTTTTTTGACGTCATCATCAAGATAGTGGACAGTGTTTTTTTTGTAATCAAGATGACGCACCGCAAAAAAACAAAGAATGACTTAAGTTTGTTAGTTAAATAAACCTGTTTTTAAAAAGAACTTTTTTATTCACAATTCTTATTCTAACACTGATTATTTATGGTTGGAGTATTTATTGTTGATTATTCACATATACTTATCTTTTAATTCTACTTCACAATTATTCATTGTGGAGTTATATTGATATCAAGTGATTGCGTTTAATTTAATGCCATTAGTACCATACATCATTGGATAGAAAAAAGAAACTCTTCAAAAATAGCGAAAAAGTGGGCGTGTGCCCATTTAAAATAAAAAAGTTGAGTTTCATTATTATAATCAAGAAAGTTACCTACATTTTTTTTTTAGTCCAAAATATAGGATTCATAGATCCATCAGGTTTCAGGTGTAATATATTGTTGTGCCATTATTAATAAAGGCGGTACGAAGCGAACCATCCACCCTGTATACTATTTTTTTCACTGCTAGCATGTTTTGTCTCATTTTTTAAATTTTAACTTCCATTATTTATTAAGTAGGCTTCGAAACAATTTGAGTTTTAAACAATTAACTTAAACTAAAGAAGAAGCAAAAAAAAATTTAAATCGACCATTGTTCCCCGAAAAATATAAAGAATTATACAATAAAAATTATTCTGCAGTCGAAACAGGGATTGCAAGTTAGTGAACAGTATATTAAAGAACGAGTTTCATAAGGTAAATATCAAGGCACGAAACCAAGTTTATACGAGCGGCGAAGCCGCGAGTAATATACAGGATGAGTGCCACAATGGCTTTATGAACGATTTATTTATACTATTTTTTTTACCGCGCACGTTTTTTCGCAAAATTTAATTAAAATGTGAATTTTTTTAAATCTGGGAAATTTTGTCGTGGTTGGTGATGGGTTGGTATCACACGAACCACGAAACTATAGCCCCTAGAAAACACATCGTATCGTCACCGTGGAGCAAACCTGTTGGATACTTAACAAAAACAAAAATTATTAACACCATTTGACAAACCGCGAAATTTAAAATGGTTTTATGTTAGATTTAAAGTTTGCAGTTTATATACAAAATATGGATATTTAATTGGAATAAAATATAAAATTTAATCAATAAAATCTTATTTAATAATAATTATTAGTTATATTAATTGACAATTAATTGACTTCAAACAAAAAGACCACGCCAAGACCAGGTGACAACAACGGTTTACGTGCTGTCAACTCTCTGCTGACACAATTTGGTTCCAAACCAGAGGAATTTTTTGCGTTACCAACTGCATTTGCTCCACTCATACAACAATGGATGAGGTATGCAACTCACAATGTTAAATGTTAGCGATGTGTAGGTTAAGTGGGGAGTAGAACTTGTGTTGGAGGAAAGAGAAAAACTCTCTCTCTGTTTACCCAATTTCTTGAGAAAAATCATCGTATTCTTCGCCGTCGAAGATCACTGCCGCTGTCAGTTGTGGATTATGGATTTTAACAACCGCTTCAAAGTCCTTTTAAACGGCCTCACATCGACTGATATAAATTTGCTTCAGGATTTAGTTAGTGGAAGCATTATTTCGTTAACTAACCGATAACGTTCTTTGGCGATCTTACGACGCTCCTGTATCGCGTCGAGCGAATCGACTGCAGCCAACATAGACTCATCTCATTGTCGTCGAAGATGCGTCGGCTTATCTTCGTCGGCACTACATGGAGGATGTACCCAAATTGTTTTCACCAGCCGCTTCTACTTCATTATCAGCCGTCTTTCTCCTTTTCATATCAGGAATACGAATATTCGCAAAGCGCCGTTTTGGGGTATCTATTTGTTTCTGTAAATTTAAATAATGTTAGAATTACTATTATTCTTTTAACAAGATAATTAATTTACTAATTTCTTGAAAAGTAAACAGGTATTTCGAGCACGAAATGCAGCTATCTTTCAAGCAATACCAGAAGAACACTAATCTGTAACTGGTGATTGCATTGGTTTGGACGGTATATATATCCTCGTACGTCACTTAATAACAATTTAATCATTTTCGAAAAGTGTACACAATCAGATGATTCACGTGACATACACTTAATTCAAACACAAACATACCCTGGACTGCCATATTTTTGGGTACACAATAGTTAAAATTACTCTAACGACATTGAAAATTGTCCAAATAACGACAAAAACTGCTTCTACAACCTGATTGCACGTCTTCTTGATGCTTACGTGAAACATGCGTATGTCGTGTTTATGACGTTTAAAATTCCCGTAGTGGTGTTTAAAAAAAATACCGTACTGTCCCCCATTTGATGTAAACGTAAAAAAAAATCCGCCCATCATGACGTTTAAATTTGCCATAGTGATGTCAAAAACTGCCACAGTGACGTTAACATGTTGATGATATCTGAAATCCGCTTACAGTCCGCGTCTTGATTACGTCAAAATCCCGTCGTTAAAAATCTCCCTACAGTCCGCAATTTTGATTATTAGTTAAAAAAAAACAAATCGTGTATTACTTGAATATTATGAGTTATGACGTTTAAAATTGTCCTAGTGACGTTAAAAATACAACATGATATCAAACACCCTCCTACTGTCCGCCATCTTGATTACGTCAAAAAAATCATGTAGATGACGTCAAAAATCTCCCGTTCCAAGTATCTAATAGATTTTGAAACTTTCTTTTCCATCTGTAACCAAAATTTGGATTCATAATTTTATTCTCGTCCGTTTTTACTCTATACTGTTTTTTTGTATTTCGGGACTCGTGGACATAAAAAATAAGAAGACGAGATGTCATGTCGTCGTTTTTAAGTTAAGCAAAAATGGTATAATTGAACATCTTGAAAAAGCGGTAAAATAAACTACGAAACTGTCGACGTAGAGGATATCTCTCTCGTCTTCTTAATTTTTATGTCCACGAGTCCCGAAATACAAAAAAAAAAACAGTATAAAATTTGGATTTTTTACTTCCAGCAAAAATCAAGTTTGCACCCCAAATCTATCTCTGCTAGATACCTGTAAACCTTTGGTTAGCTAGCACTTCTTCAAAATTCATTTATTTTTCAAAAACAAGTGACTAATGTTTTATGTTGACAACGAAATAAAAAAACAAATGGAAATAATCAAAATCATAGTGGTTATTAGGAGGATCACTTCATTACAACAATTTCCTCCGACAAATTTTTGTTTCTTTAGAAAGTAAAAGAAAACGCGAAGATGTCACTTTATTTAAATGTTCTGTGAAAAAAGTAAGAAAATATTTTGCGTAATTCAATGAAATATTCTGTACATTTTGAATTAGTAATAATTTTAATATTAAATGCTGTATGTAAGAACCCCCTTCTTGGCAATTCCATCAGTAATTGTCGCTACGGCTGGTACAGTACTTAACTAAATATGGAAAATTTTCAGCAATTTTTCAGTACAAAGATGATTGTAATGGACTGAAGAACATAACGAAAAATTAAACCAATCGAAACATTAGGAAAATACTTAAATCAGAAGGAAAAAGTTGTTGCAGTAGACCAGTACATACCAAAGCAATTTATCAACGTTAACCTATAAAAACAACCAGAATCATTCCTAATATGCTTTTAATCAATATTAGAGTATTAATAAAGTGTATTCCGAATGGGCAACAACTTAAACTAATCGGTCTTACAACATACTCATATTTACAACAAAATTTCTACTTCAATCAGAGCAGTAGGCATTATTAAGCAACTGCGACTTTAGTTTTTTAATATAATTCATCGCTTTTACAGTTTCGGCCAAAAGGATATCATCGTCACATAACAACTGATCTAGTTCATCCAAACAACGCGACAAGTTTTCGTGAATTATGTAATAATCGACAGATTCTCTGCTGCCAAAATAACAGTCGATAATATCTTCAAATGTTCTTGCATGGGAACAAATGTTACGAACGAACGGCACACTCTCCTTATTAGACACGTTGTCAAATTCAAATTTGTTGAAGTAACTTTCCACATTTATAACATTCTCGAATTGTCTCTTTGAAAACGCAGCTTCTGCCAAATCTTGATCGACGGTGCCCAACAAGGAGAACAACTGTTCCAACGTCGTTTTCTTCTGAATTTCCAGATCTCTGTTTCCCTTAGGCATATCGTCAATGCGTTCTTTTAAAGTAAGAATCTCTTCGAACATTGTCATAAACGATTCACTACTAGCACTGAAAAGATTTATAGTTTTAATGCTTGTTTTAAGTTTATTAACCCTTAAGTTAAGGTGTTCATTTAATTCGATTTTCGCTCTTTCAGCTCTTATGTTTAGTTGAAGTTGTAGAACTTTTTCATACACATCTGTCCTTGAAGTGTGGACCTTGAACGATTTTACTCTTTCTTCAAACTCATTCAAGGTTCTGGTTTTTTCTGTGTTTGAAACATTTGCTCTTGACAGTTCTTGTAGATCGTTGTTAATAGTTTGCATTTCTGAGAATAATGTATGAAGGGTCTGTCTTCGTTGTGACAGTTGGTCCATTTGGTTAAAAAAAATTCCAAATATTTGTTGAAAACCTTTAACGCTTTGCAGGTCAATCTTGCTTTTTATCAGTGACATCATTGCCATTCGGCCATCCGTAATTGCTTGACTTGTCAGATATTTTTCGCTTTTATTTAAACTATTGATTTGCTCTATCAACGATTCGTAAGCCCGTAGATGTTCTTCTACAGCAGATGCAATTTTTGGGTAATAATTTCTATAAATTCGTAATTCAAAATCGTGTAGTTCTTGCAAAACTTCCCGTTTCTTCTGAACTACTCTAAAACTGGAATCGTCTATCGTTTGAATTTGCTTTCGAAATTCATTAAACTTATAAAATTGTATGGCTCTGCTTTTTTCTGTGTCTAAAATTTCTTGCCTTATTGTGTTTAGATATTCTAGTTCAGAAATAGTTCGGTCGTTTTTAGTAGCTCTCTGTTCCAACAGGACTAAAGCTTGTTGAACTCGTTGTTCCATCAGTTTTATTCTTGTGTTAAAGAGAAAATTTTCTTCCGCCAAGTACTTCAGACCCTTACCTACCGAAGTTATTTCGTTCTTTTTGACATCGTACATTTTAATTCGCTTCGGATAAGCAAACTGTCGTGCATAACTTTTATAGTCCTCTATCACTTCCAACTTCTCTCTCAAATGATGCATACCTTCTACCAAAATAAATCCCGATGTTTGGTTTACAACCCGACTCACTTTTACTTTGGTGGTGTTATTAACACAGCTAATTTCCTTTAAACGTTGCAGTTCTAATTCTAATTTGGTTTTCTTTTTGAGGAAGTCTTCATTTGCCTTTACAATTTCAGATATTTTGTTCCCTGTTCTGTACAAAAGAGTGTCAATTTCATTCGCTTGCCTCAAATTTTCTGAAATAGAGTCAGTGTTCTGGTTAAGTTTATCGTTTCTTTTTTGTGTTGTGTTGCTTTTGGTGGTGAGTTGTTCAGTTCGTTTCTGTGTTGTGTTGCTTCTACTGGTGACTTCTTCGCTTTTTTTCTGTGTTGTGTTGCTTCTAGTAATGTTTTCTTCGCCTTTTTTCTGTGTCGTGTTGCTTTTGGCGGTGAATTGTTCAATTATTTTCGGTGTTGTGTTGGTTCTGGTAATGATTTCTTCGCCTCTTTTCTGTGTCGTGTTGCTTTTAATAGGACGATTTCTCGAACGAAACAACTTTTCTTTGTCTGATTTGCGCGTGTCTTCCGCAACATGGTGTTGTAGACTAGGTACTGGTGTGTGGTGTTTTTCAATTTCAGTGTTAGAAAGGTGTTCGGGATTTTCTGAAATGTGTTATATTTAGTTATAAAAAAAAACAACGACGAAAGAGAACTATGGCTTTAGTGATATGTTTTACTCTGAACAAAGTAAAGGAACACCCTGACTCTTACCTCCAATAGTCTTTTCCTCTATGTTTTTCACTATTTTGTTACAGGTTTGCTTTATAGCGTCCACCACTTTTATAACTTCGGCCAGTTTATTTTTCATGTTTTGCATAGCCAACTGATTAAAATTCTTAATACTAAATCTGCCTAAGTCATCATGGACGCCCTCAAGTTTAGTCAACGAATCATCGATAACTTTTGAAATTCTCGTTGGTGGAACGCGTACATATAATCGTAGAAAGAAGGTCGCTATGTGATTTCGATCTTTTAAATGCAGAATTTTGTCTATGATTTTGGCATAATTTAGGGCCCTCGCCATAACTGCTGCATATTCTTCTGACTTAGTTTTTTTAATAACTTTTTCCAGTCCCAGCAGATATTGCTTCATTTCTTTCGTTGCTAAAATGACACAACTGGAATGGAGAACTTTTCGACATTTGTCTTCACTTACTCATTTTGGTGCGTTCGTATCCTTTTTCTTCTGTTAACAAATTTTCCAATTTTCCTGTTGCTTGATGTAACAATATGTTGTCATCTTTCTTCACAATTTGGTTTTTCTGTTTTAAGTTTGCTAATGCATATGACTGAATCGCCCGACTAATTTGTTCTTTGAGGTGAAAATCAATTGCAGTTTCTTCCTGCGGCACTTTTTCAATAAACCTCATTAACACCGATCTCACATGACGATCCATATTTTCCTGAAAACATAACATTTTACAGTTTATGGAAGTAATTGCACAATAACAAATACGTCTAGGTTATTTAATTACACAATTAACCTTTATCTTACCCACAGGTTAATTTTTTTCGTTCTTCTGTAGTAAAATACGTTGACTCTAAATTTTACATCCTTAATCACACGAACTAAATATTTGAATAAAAATGAAACTTTGTTTAGTATATCTGGTGTATATTACGAATCCATGCGAATTTATTTATTTGAACAAGTTACATTTACAGTTCACTACACATACTAAATTTGGTAAGCGTATAATAGAAAGTGTGTGATCGTTATCACTTATCAGAGTGTAATCGGCGCAAAAGTGTTGCAAAATAATAATAAAATATCTTAGATAATAATTTATCGGTTTCGTGAAAGGGGAAAATATGTACATAAAAATTTAAAGTTGCAGATATTATCGATGAAGACCACGTTTTCAAGTGCAAATATTTCAGAAATAACTTTCAAGTACACATAGAGGTGTATCCAAAGGTTACAGACCAAAGTTTTTTGTATACGGAGTCGAGCCATCCAGGCGCGGATACAGGATTTCGTTCAGGGGGGGGCAATTTTTGTGCAATTTTACCTATCTACCAGAAATTCGTTCTAAACAAAACAATTTATAAAATTTTAGCTAGTATACTCTTTTTCACATAACATGGGTGACATTTGGTTCTTTTCATTACACGTATAGCGTACAGTAGAACCTCGATAAAAAAAGGTGTGTTCGGATTAACGATTTGTTTGGATCAGCAATTTTCGCAAAAATCTGAAAGGGAATTGAATAACAACTTCATACACAACTGAAAACAAACTTCAAGAAATAAACCTAAATTTTTTTAAACAAAAATTAAAGAATTCTTAAGCAACAATGGATAATAGATACATTCTAAAAAAATATTACTCCGTGACCATAAACACGCTATCTTTTGGAATAAACACCCCGGGATCTATACCCTGAAATTTTTCAGGATTTTTCAAAAAAGAAATTTTCCATTATGTATTCGTATTACCTCCATTATGCAAATTTCGACCCATTCTCGACGATTTTCGAAATTTAACTAAATATATTTTCTAGTAGATTTTGGACCTCAGAAGTCACTTCTGGCTTCATTTCTTCGATAACTTAAACCATTTTTCCAGAATCGTTGAAATATCGCGATTTTTAAAAATTTCGAAAAATTCGAATTTCACAGCGAATTTTCCGAAAATATTGCTCCGTTACCATAAACATGATATATTTTTGGAATCAGCACGTCTGAATTTTTTCAGAATTTTTAGGAAATTTTTTCGAAAATGAAATTTTTCTCATGCAAATTTCGACCCATTTTCGACGATTTTCGAAATCTAACCAAATACTTTCTCTTGTAGATTTCAGGTCTCCAATAACTTCATCCGTTTTTCCAGAATTAGTTAATTAATTCAGTGCTTTAAAATATCGCAATTTTTAAAAATTTCAAAATATTCCATTCAACATATGCAGAAAGATTTTGCGTCATTTTTGAAAGTAGATGCATGTTTTCAAGTGCAGATCGGATTGCAGAGTTTTTGTTTGGATTAAAGAGGCATCGACTTCAAATAGCCTCTGTTCGGATTACTGGATGTTGAGACAATCGTGAGTTCGGATTATAGAGGTTGTACTGTATGTACAAAATGAAATATGATTTCAAAATTTTGAAATTGGTCAAAATAAAGGACCTCGGTCGTGTGTCAGGGGGGGGCAATTGCACCCATTGCCCCCCCCCTGGATCCGCGCCTGGAGCCATCATAAAAGCATTGTTTAAGTATATTATAGTTGGACAACCTAATACAAATTTTACTTCGCCTAAATAGTGAGCTTTAGGACAAGGAATCCAGGGGGCGTGAGACAAATTTTTGGTCAACGCGCATTTTCACTACAGTGGGCTAACGTATTAGGTTTATTTTACTCTACATCAGATGGCGCCATCAAACATTAGCAAAGGCAAACACCCTTAACTCTACTCTTATACGAGGAGTTATCCATAAATCCATAATTACCATTGTTCCGCAAACAGTAACGTGTATAAACATATATGTACAAAATATGAAAATATACTTGACATAAAAAATATGAAGCAACGCATTGTAACGTGATACGAAAGAATTGAATTTAAATGAATTTGACGCCTATTTTTATTTGATTATATCTGAAGACTGACAGAAACTTTCCAAAGGTTTTTAAACTGGTATAATTGTTTAGTTTTACAAGATTAAAGTAAAACAAGATTTTAAGTAAAATTTAGATTCGTGGTGTTACAAAAATATTAACAAAATGAAAATATATGTTCAAAGTAAATAACAGAATGACATAAACTGTCGGCGTTAACATTACAAATAATTACAAGAGAGAAAAAAACGCATAAAGAACTTAAGAGGCATGTTTGTAATATCGAGTTGTTAAAGGCTGCTTTGAAGACTGTTTGTTTCTATGAAAAACAATTGCTGTTATCGGACATTTTGGTAGATTTTGTTCCAAAAATACGAGATAACTAATTGTTTCTTGAACTAGTTTCCGTAGCTTCTAAAATTTAAAAAGGATACGCCGTTCTGCTGTAATAAAATCTAGAATAAGGTCAAAATCACACTAATATTACATCTGATTTTGTTAACCACATGAATATAATTTACATTAAAATAAGTTGCAGACATTGTTTGAAATGTTTATTATAGTTCGAAAACAAGATAAAATAAATAAATAAATAAATAAATAAATAAATAAAATGTGCAGTTTATAAACTTCAAAATTTTAGTATAAAAATAATCATGTTTGAAGCTTTATTTTGTCTATTCCATTTTATTGGGTGTATTGGGCCCCTCTCGGGATGTAACACCGACATCAGTGCACCGACCCAACGTTCTTCAACCGATGGGATGATGTATTACTTCCGTTAAGCTGGCCCTACACACAGCGATTTGGTTTTCGGATTTTCGGCTAGATCTGCACAGTTAACTCTTTGCGCACTGCACACTGACGTAGAGTATTTTGTTCACGCGAGCATCAAAAATATTACGCCGAAAGCACTTCTTCAAGTGTTATTTTTTTTAAGATGTCATATTTGTCAGCGTTTCCAAAATTTTCTTCTTTGCACAGGTCAACTGATTTTTCGCAAACCGCATTTTAAAATGTTTGTTATTGTATTTTTTACTTTTTAATTTTCTAAGGCATGAAAAAATCCCATATAGGTTTCTATGAATTTATTAACGAAATCAACTGATAACTTGCGCGCCATTTTGTGTTAATTAATACCAATAGTGATTATGATAATTTTATAATTATCATTTTAATGAAATTGTGTTCTTCACTTCGCGAACGACAGCAAACAATTTAAAATTACCGCTAGTCAAGCACCTGAAAATCCATCTCTCCCAAATATGTCTTTCTTGGCACGATTTGTAATCCGAAGTCTCCCTCCACATGCAATTTTTCGTCGCCTGAGAACTTGTTTGATCTACAGACCAAAGCACACTCAGGCCAATATCGGCTTTAAGCGATTTATCTATAAACCGATATTCGTTAGAGTTGATCTGATACACATCCACTACGAAGAACTAACCCATTTCGACCATTGGACTTTACAACGAATAAGTGAACAAAGTTCTTGAACATCATATTAACGATTTAATACATAATGTTCCCGAATGACAAAATTTACATTTCAAATTGTATTATCAAATTACACTCTCCAAAATTTGTCACGAACAATGAAATGACGCAATCTCCAAATTTTACAATAGTAAAGTTGTAGTTTCGCCCCGTTGACGATTTATGCATACGTGTCGAGTTTTCACCTTAGACGTCAAGATTTTTGGAAAAAAAATCAACATTTTCCAAATTATAATGTTATTTAAATTTTAAAAAGTAGAATAGTCCTGATCTTGTGATTTATACCTAAATACTCTATTGGGATTTTTCGGCTTGTCGATTGCTCCATTTTTCAACTTTAAATGTCTCAATTTTTCAATGTTCCAATTTTGGGCTTTTCCGATTCTTCCATTCCTTAAATTTTCTATTTCTCGATTTTTTATTTTTCGATTTCTCAATCTTTCGATGTTTCAATGATACGATTTCTCAATTTTTGTCCTCTTCAATTTTATGGTTTTTAAATATTTCGATTTTTCAATTTTTCAAATTTTCACGTTTCTAAATTTTCAGTTTGCCGATTTCTAAAGTATTTTTTTTATTTGTCCATTTCTGGATTTCCTAAAGTTTCGATTTTTCACATCTCCAATTCTTCAATTTTTCGATTTTTTAAAATTACGATTTTTCAATTTTACTTTTTTAGATTTTCGATTTCTCAATTTTCCAATTTTTTAATTTCTTAATTATTTGAATATTTCTTTCAGTTATAAGATTTTTCAATATTTCAATTTTCCGACTTTTCGATTTTTGAATTGATGGATTTTTTTTTATTTCACTCGCTTTTTTCCTTTTTGGATTTTCAATTTATTGTAAACTTTAGATTTTTCAATTCTGGGACTGTTTAATGCGTCGATTTCTCAATTTTTAAACTTTTCGATGTTTTAATATTTCATTTTTTAAAATTCTAGGTTTTTCGATATCTCGAGTTTTCAGTTCTTCTATATTTCAATTTTTCAATTTTTCGATTTTTTTAATTTTAATTTTTGATTTTCCAGTTTTTCTTTTTTAAAATTTTTCGATTATTCAATTTTTTAATTTCTCAATTTATCGAATTCAGATGTTTCGTTGTTTTGATTGTTCAATTTCTCAATTTTTCAATTTTTATTAACTTTCCTTTTCGGCTACCGACTCCTCAATTTCTCGATCCTCCGATTTTTCGATTTCTCGAAGTCTCAGTTTTTAAATTTTTCGATGTTTCGATTTTTGGATTTCTCGGTTTTTCGATTTTTTTCTTTTGAGCTTTTCAATTTCTGGATTTTCCAATTTTTCAATGCCTCGATTTTTCAATTTTTCAAATTGAATTGGATTTCTCGATTCTTCAATTTTGCGATATTTTAATTATTTATTGTTTTAAATTTTAGTTTTTTCGATTTCTCGATTTTTTGACTTTTCAGTACTTCAGTATTTAAATTTTTGAATTTTTCAAATTTTTGCGTAAAATTTTCAGGTTTTTGATTTCTCAATTAATTTATTTTTGATTTTTTCACTTCTCAAAGTTTCGATTTTTCAGTTCTTCAATTCTTCGATTCTTCTAAATTTTTCAATTTTTTATTTTTGGATTTTCAGTTTTTTGTTTT